TGACTTTACACTTCCACGCACCATGTTTGAAAATGGCTCTCTGTATATTGTTTTACAAAGGGCATCACTGTATACTGTTACAATATTATTTTATAAATGTATTATTATATCTCTGCTCTTTGTATCGTATCCCTGGTGTTTTGCAGTTTTGCTGATGCAGTTCCCGACAGTAACTGAATTTCAGTACAATGATCTAAAAACAATCAACTGAGACGTTTGTGAGTAACCGTTACTATGACTGCCTTATTCCTAGACTGGCAGCATACATAGTTTGCAGGCTAATTTATAACAGCAAAGGATGAGGTGCAGTGCAAACCCAGAGGAGAAAAGTGAAACGTTCTCTACAGTGACTGTGAAACAACAGGAACATGATAGGAAATGGTATATATATATATATTTCAATACTGTCTTTCCCCAGTATTGTCACAGCTGATGCTTTGAGTTACAGCCATATTGCTTGCGGTTGGACACAAAGCTTTTTGTCTGAGGGATGTTCAGACTGGCGTGATGGAGGACTGATGTCTATACAACTTCCCTGCTGGACAATGACTCAGTCCTAGTATAAGCACAGTAACTGCTGTTGACACATTATGCTACTGAATAGTGTAAAAAGAACACACAGACACTCAAGCACACACATAAGTGGACACATGGCTAACCAGAAAACCGGATTGTGCTTTCACTACAGCCTCTAACAATGCAGTGGGTGATGGAGATGAAATAAAGACAAAAATAGAAATCTGGTCTCTTTAAGGCAAACAAAACAGAAAGCAGCTTATAGGAGTAATGGCCAGAGTGACGGAGGGAGTCTGTTGATATGTGTCCTGTTTCTGATAAACTTCCTGCAGTGACCAGGATACCCACCACCAGTCACATAGTGAAGAACGTGAGCACCTGTGGACCATTAAGCAGACATTTGTTTTAACCAAATCACTTTTTGGACTAAAGGCTCTTGGAAGCAAACCAGTGACCTCCTGCTACTATGAACTTTTTTCAAAAAAGTTTAGTTTGTTGACTAAAAGTTCCAGTCAAGGCTCAGATGCATTAAAACTATACGAGTCCAGTGCTGCCATGTGTGTACATGATGTACAAATTATTTATACATGATATATGAATGACTGAAGCCAATTTAATCAGACCAAAATGGCTTTTTCGTGGTCAGTTGGAAAACCAGAACATTTGTGAATCATAAATTACTCTTTGCTATTTCAGTTTGGCATATTTGAAAATGAGTTGTATATTTCTCATTCAGTTTCAATTATACCAGGGTTATACTTTAAAGTAGCCTACACCAAATATCATTTGTTACTGGAAAGTTTGAGTTATGTTTGGGAAGAACTGCATTTTCAGTCTAGCTGAGTTCCTGACAGAGACAGGTAGTGTGGTCTAAAGTGTCGCATGTGTTACAGAAGAAAATGTATTGCTGATGAGAAGGTGGAGGGTATTCTGTCCATGTTAGAAACTGAGGTAGCTTTATGTTCAGTATATATCAGTCTACATCAGGTACTGTATATCAGTATGTACTTTCATGAGATGGTAATGAGTAAACAAAGGCTACTCTAAATTTGTGAGACAAAACACGAAATGGTTAACATCCCTTTCAAATAATATAAGGCTGCATTTACACTGAGAAAGCTACAGAGACAAAAACTGCTTTTGACCTACTGTGTCCTGTTTCTCTTCTGTTACTGTTGCATTTTAGCAGCTGTCAGTCAAATAGGTCAAGTCTAACTGAATAAAATTACAGCTTTGCTTTCAGCGAGCATGTATTTATTTCCTGAACCTTCTGATAGTTTTCTGGTGTTCTGATAAACCCATCGAGGACCTGCCCAGTGTAATATCGCTGGCCCTGACAGTTAGCTGTCCTTGAGCTCTTGATCCCCCCTGTCATCTACAGCGTAT